TACTCAATGTAAGAGGATAAGGGCAAGAAAATCCTACTAAATAAGCGAAACTGAGTTTCTAAAACAAATGAAACAGTTAATTGCCTCAAAAGTGAATTAGGTAAGTCCAAGAATGTAGGCATACCTTGCCGAGTCTCTATAGGACATAAGCAAGTTTTTCCCACTTAAATTAATATGATACTTACAGGATTAGCAAACTTTTGTGCTCTGAAAAAGAAGGCTAATTCCCTACCTAGGTAAATATCATCATCTCTGACCGACGTGTAGGGGTGCGAGGTGTCAACTGGTGACGAGAACTGCTGCTGAGGTCCCAATTCAGCAACTAAAGTTCGTGCGAGAGGAACTATGGCCCTCTTTATCCTCCTACTGTCAGATTGCAGAAGATTAGGTGCACTTGACCCGGGGACAGACCACAGTACCAGGGTACCAATATGATGATCTGCCGAAAATATGAGAAATATCCTAGGGACAAAAGATGGTAAACACGAGTAATAACACGGAGGGAGAGATGACCAATCAAGAGAATGACTGAGGCCTACAGTCACCACGTAATCCAAAGTTGTCTCACCTTCACCATATGCTACTCTCGGAATGCACAATACACACAGCACCATATGAAAATAAAATTGAATATTGAAAATAGTGAAAAGCTACTTTACCAAAGCCAAGTACGCTTACCACAAATTTACGATCTGGTACCAGTACCTGAGTGAAGCTCCGTGGACAGGCCCCCATGAAATGTGACGGTAAAGCGTTGGTGTTCGGCTGTTTCAAAAGCTGGGGGCAGGGCCTCGTCACATAACAAAAAAAGAGAAGTTTGTCCTTTTGTCTGTGGTAAGGTAATGGGAAGACACACAAAACACAAAGTATAAACAATGAAATTTTAATTACTCTAGAAAACAAGATATGAATAAAGTCAATCTCGTAAAATTCAAAACAAGTCAACAAACAAAACAACATGAATAATTAAGGTCAGTGAATATTTACTCTAAGACAAGTAAGTGCAAGTAATATAAATCAGGTGAGGTGCTGAGAATACTGGCTTCAAGCTGCCACCTCCCTTAGTACACGACAGCCAGAGCTTTAGTCTACTATGGACAGATGTCAACTCCAAGGAGCACAGGGATATTCTGAGGAGACAGCGTGCTGCTGGCCCAGGCGTCGACTCATGTAGTGGCATGAGTGCAGGTGCGGCGACACACCAGCCAATCAGCAACAGGCAGGCGGAGAATGAGTAGTTTGCTGGTTTGACGGCGGGCGGTAGCCGGTGTGTCGGGTTGTGCATGGTACGCTTTGCTTCCTGGGCAAAACGTTTGGCGATACTGGTGGACGTATCTTCAATATAGTATCTTGTACTTGAACGACGTAAATGTGTAGGGAAGAGCAGGCTCAATCTCTCTTGAAAGAGATTATCGTCACAGTATATATTGCAATTGACTAAGAAAGGAAGAGGTAATGACGAGTATTAATATCACATTAAATTCTTCTGTGATAAAATAGAATTTCTCGTAAAATAAATTGGCTTATTAAAGTTGTGCAACTAATCGAGGAAATTAAAGTAAAATCATTTACATTAAAGTAATTTCCTCTAGAATGTTTAATATCAACTAAATAAGGGAGTTCCAGTAAGTAGTAGTATACTACGAAATTAAACTTATTAGTGACTATTTTTAGTAAAGGAAATAATAAACTGGACTCTTGTTATAAATCCAACTAAATGTGGAGAGAATTCATGTTACTGCCTGACGTTCCTCACGTCGTCACTCTGACTAGGAAGAATCTGGCAATATGAATAAATAAATCATGATAATGATTAAATCTACAAGTTAGTAATTTTAGTAACTACTTGTGGTTAATACAACGGTTGCATAAAATACAAAGATGTATAAAACTGTTGGTTATTTCCAACACGGGGAAGTCCCTTTATGTGTCAGTAGTACCAGTGGTGGTACAGGGACCCCACATGTCACAGTGGTAGCCGTAGTAAAATAAGAAAGTGTTTACTTCTGCAGGAGGCTCCAGTGGGAGTGAGGATGGACTTGTGACTTGTTTTCAATGGTAACATAATGTGGGAGAAACTTGGGACAGGCGGAGGTCAGGAGTGGAGCCATTTTCAGATGTTTAGATGTTCCTTTAGTCCCAAGAGGGACTAAAGGAAGGTTGGCAATTGAAACAGTCAGGTCTGGTTGTACCAACAACACCACTTTCAGTTGGAGTTAACTGTTCAACCATTCTGTTGGACTGAAGACCGTAGGCCGTGGTGTGGTTGCGGGGGGGGGGGAAAGCTCCCAGGAACTGCTGCAGTTTCTAACATAAGTGTGACCCGAATTACAATCCTTGGTAGGAGACAATCGTTGCTGTGGGAACTCCAATGCCAGAGACTGAACCATTGTAGAAACTAAGAACTACAAACACTGTCCTCATCTCCACCATTTGCTCTGGTCTCATCTTGAGACGCGGTGGGCGCATGTGAATTTTGTATGAGCGCCCTCCATGTTGAGGAAGAGGGCCGCTGATCTCTTCATGAACCATTTAAAGTCTGACAGACATTCGTGGGAAATACTGCAGCGGCATCTGTGTGGTTGTGTGTATCTTTGATTGTTGACATTAAAAGCGGGCATCATTGAAGATTCCTGGCCATACCACCTACTTGTTCAGGAGGCCCGACGTATTCTGGATGTCAAGGTTAGCCAAGGAGTGGATCTCCGTGAAGCTTCTCTAACAATCTGTCTTTAGTATGTACAGCTGTAGGACACCAATGAGAGAAGTGTCTTAAGTAACAGTATCCTCGGACTTAAGCAAGGGTACAACACTGAGGTAAAGTGCTGAGGGAGAATTCACAGGTGTTGGGGGTACGCGCTCATACCACAGCGCTCTGGTAACCTCTGCAAAAACCAATGTGAGACGTCGCATGGAGGATGGCACACAAACTAGGTCGAGAAATGGCAGTGGCGACGGCATATACAGTTTCCCTTATATCCCAGCTCGTTGTTCTCATATCCGTATACGTACTATACAGTTATATCAACGTAGGGCTTTCTCATAGTTATCTTACCAAGTCAGGAATTGGGATATATTGCTCTAGGGTTCAGTGACTCTCAGTGATTGGGAACTGCCCTTGACCACCAAATCGTTAAGTCAGTGGTGTGAAGTTGGTGAGGAAGTGAAAATAATGTCCCTATAGAAAATGACTGAAGTTTTGTGTAATTAATTATACCCTTTTCGAACGTACTGTATTTTGCCTCCACTGGTGTTAATTAAGTGTATACTGGAGGAAGCGATTGGATATAATATGTCATTAATGAACATATTGTAAGACCACTGCCATATTAGTGTCAGAGCCGTTGGTAGAGAGGCTGTTGGTGTATGGAACACTGGATGGGCAAGGAGGTTTAGATGAACTAGCTGCTAGAGATTAGCGAACACTTGCTCGGCGTCTTGTGGCCTTCCATGACTGCCTACCCCATGCAATCCAAGCGAAGGTTTTGAGATGTTGGAAAAGTATTAGATAAATCTTGTAAACACTCACCACACCCTGGAATTCAAATAGATTCTTAGGAGTTGCGGGTCGTGAGAACTCTTGGAGAGCCTCAGTCTTCTTCACCAATGGCACGATATCAGGTACTTTGCGACTCAGGAAGTAGAGTTCAGGCACCTAAAAAAATGTATTTACCTAGCTTAATCTGGGGTCCATAGCTATGAGTGAGTAGCAGAAGGTGTTGCCGATGTTCAGCTGTAGATGGACTCACTCTGACGAGGCATTAATGTAGGCACAGCACTTGAGGTCTCTGATGACTTGATCAATGAAACGTTGGAATGTCTGGACTATTTGACAGAGGCCAAATGGCATCAAAAACATTTTAAACTAGCCAAAAGGTATAGTACTTTGCTATTCTGGGTACATACGCAGCATACCCCAAGACTTGGTGAAATGCTCAAACCAAATATATTTTAGAGAAAGTGTTCGCTCCTTGCGGTTTGTTAATGAAATTCTGAATGTGTGGGATGAGATTTTGGTCCAAAAGTGTCCTTACATTAAGGGCTCTGTATTATTACAAGGCAAGACTTCCACTGCGGTTGTTCTGGCAACCATAGGCAGTTGGGAGGCTCAGAAACTATCAGTACGTCTCACAACACCAACAGCTAACAACTTGTTAGATTCTTCCTTGACCATCTGGTCAAGGAAGAATCATTCTGGCTGTAGGCTGACCCGAGGTACATTGTGGAGGATGACTTAGGTGATTAAATTTGGCGTCTTAGGCATGAGGTCTGGTGATGTCCTTGAATCCAGCACAGGTTCTGCTGGGCTGGTGATATATTCAGTGCCAAGCTGGTGAGCAATCGTTGAGTGCCAGTCATTCACTAGAGACTACCACATGCCAGATCTACAAGGATGATGTGATGACATAGGAATCTGCACTCTAGTATGGGCATATTAATTTTAGTAACACGGAAAGTCCACGAGAAGTGACCGAGGTCAGTAAAATCTATGGTGACCACGCTATCACCATAGGTAGGGTCAGACCTACAGTGGTAGCAACCAGATAGGTCCTTGCGTGGAGTACAAGGTGGCTTGCCCACTGGAAGAGGTAGAACAGAAATCTCCCCATCGCACGGGGCAACATCACTGACAGAGTCGAACGTACACACAGTGAATTAGCCAGGTAGCAATATCTATGCCTTAGAATAACAGCTACCTGCTGAAAAAATAGATTCTAGATAACCGCATTGCTATACAGACATGATTTTTTTAAAGATTAAGCAGTATCAGAGGTCTCTCAAGAGGCAGTTTCACGTTGGTCACATATCTGATGGTGGATAAGGATTGTTATAAGGATTGTATTGTTTATTATTTTATAGTTTTTCGGTGTCGCATTAAATCAGTATTATTTTGTAATGTCTAATATATCATTGTTTGGATACATGCTGCGTTCATCATTAAATTAAAAATACATATATACGTATAAATATATACATCACAATATTTTTTTCCCTTTTAGAACTAATAGAAGCTTGGAATAGAACTACGACAAACTCAGAAGAGAGACACCAATTTAGAGAGGTACGTTGAGTTGTTCTATATTCTTTGTAGTAGTTTGTTGTATATTTATGTTACTAATCACCCAAGTACTGTACAAGGTTCTTTGATGAATGGTTTAACAGAACCTCATGTCAACAAATCAAACACCGAACAGTTGATATAATCTTTTCTAAAACAGTTTATAGCTATTGTTAAAGTGAGTTTAAGTGTGAGTTGTATTATAAGTAGCCTCATTCCACAGCCTAGTGCTGCCGAATAATTAGTTAAATCATTATTTGTGTCGAGGTACAGATAGCTAGTGTATTATACATGAACAAATCCACAAGGGCCGTGACGAGGATTCGAACCTGCGTCCGGGAGCATCCCAGACACTGCCTTAATTGACTGAGCTATGACAGGGCTAAATATGTTGAAACCGAAGTTCTACTGAACTTACTGGATCCCGTAGCCTCTCCGAGGCATAAACCAGGGTTTTACACAACTCCCCCCTGCACCCGAGCTATGTCTTGTGGATTTGTTCATTTGATGCATCACGTTAGTGTGATCTCTGTGTGTATTATACATGTTAGGCTTATACAGAGGTTCCCCCCCTTCAAGGTACTGATCCTCCCCAGGATGCAACCCCACAACAGTTGACTAACTCCCGGGGACCTATTTACTGCTAGGGGAACAGAGGCATCAGGTGATAGGTAACGTGGTCCAACCATTTATGTCGTGCCAAGGATTTGAACCTGGAATTCCCGATTGTGAGTCGAGAACGAAGCCGACTGTACTACCGGGGCTCAATATATATGTATATGGAGTTTTGAGGGAATAAAGATTGATTATGAGCGATAGGTATAGTAATTGATAATTTTGGATAGGTTCATATTTAAAGGTTTTTCCTGTAGGTGTTGTTTTGTTTGTGAACATTATATATATATATATATATATATATATATATATATATATATATATATATATATATATATATATATATATATATATATATATATATATATATATATATATATATATATATATATATATATATATATATATATATATATAAGCCTATACTTGCATAAACCACAAGTGAAGATTAAATAATCTTTGGACAACACCCACCAGTGGGACTCGAACCCAGAAAGCACAACTACCTAGTTATGCCTGCTACTGGAAGGTAGTTGTGCTTTCTGGGTTCGAGTCCCACTGGTGGGTGTTGTCCAAAGATTATATATATATATATATATATATATATATATATATATATATATATATATATATATATATATATATATATATATATATATATATATATATATATATATATATATATATATATATATATATATATATATATATCATGTCATCAGATGACCTCCTGGGGGCCATCAAAGCATCCACCACCAGAACTCTTCCCCACATTCCTAAAGCAGCGCGCCCATTTGCAGCAGGGAAATATACAGACCTTTTAAGGAAAGTAAATGAACGGTCTGCAAATCTTAATGCTGCAGCCACCATCAAAGCATGGCATAATTTGCTCCTGTTTGGCAATATTTGCTTAGGCGTACCTGCAAGAGGAGGCAAGTCACTAGCCTCATCAGTCACTAGGGCAATAAATAATTTCCCCAGAGCTGACAACGTGATCCCCATCCCTCCTCAACGCAAAAACCGTCGTGGCAGACCCAAGAGTTCCAATGACAATTTTAAACTAGGAACACAAGTGACCAAAAAAATTGAAGAGGGCAACACAGTAGGGGCAATTAGGTTACTTACCAGCGAAGACACAATCGCCCCTAGAAATACCGCTACCGCCAACTCGCTGAGAGAGAAGCACCCTCCTAGAGTACCGGGGGAACCCACTGCTCGGGACACAAGTGTCCCAGACATGGGACCTCTATTCCTCCAAGCGTCCGAGGTATACAAAGCCATCATGTCATTTCCGCCAGGCTCGGCAGGGGGATACACAGGAGGAAGACCTCAGCACCTCAAGGAGATGGTAAACCCAGTTCTCGGAGAAGTTGCCGAGACACTATTGTCAGAGATCACGAAGTTTGTCAACGACTGCCTCTCTGGGTTGATCCCAGATACAATTAAACCCTTTTTCTTTGGAGCATCCCTTTGTGCCCTCAAGAAGAAAGATGGTGGAGTCAGACCCATTGCCGTGGGTAACACACTTCGGCGCCTTGTTGCTAGAGCAGCTGTCAGAAAAATTAGCATAGACGCTGCGACGATGCTTTGACCCCATCAACTAGGTCTTGATGTCCCCCATGGCTGTGAAGCAGCAGCTCATGCAACACGAGTCTATATCAAGCACCTCCCAGAAAATAAGGCATTAATTAAATTAGACATTAAAAATGCCTTCAACCAGGCAAAAAGGGATGTGGTACTGGAAGCAGTTCGAACAAGCTTTCCTTCTCTACTCCCCTTCGTATCAGCAGGGTACAGTAGGGAATCGACGCTGCTGTTTGGGGAACATGAAGTTGTTTCTGCAGAAGGTGTCCAGCAGGGAGACCCACTTGCCCCTTTTCGTTTTTGCATGGCTGTTAAAGAGGTCACAAGCAGGTTGACCAGCGAACTCAACATCTGGTTTCTGGACGATGGCACCCTGGCAGGGACACAGGAGTCCCTGCTAGAAGATCTACAGTTGGTGAAATCTAAGGAAGAGGAGTTAGGATTCACCCTAAACCCATTAAATTGTGAAATCATCTCATCTAGCCAATCAACCATAGATGCAGTGCGAATCTTATTGCCAGGAGCCCAAGTGATCGCTCCCACCGACAGTGTGCTGCTAGGAGCACCTCTGGGCTCGAGCGCCATTGAGGTAGTCCTCGAAGAAAAGCTGAACGACCTGAGGAGGATGGAGGGAAGAATAAGGGCTTTGGACGCCCACGATGCTTTGTACCTACTCACAAGGTGCCTGGCTTTGCCCAGACTGACCTATTTCCTAAGGTGTGCTTCCTCCTTCGACAGCCCAAAATTAACAGAATATGACACACTCCTAAGGTCAATAACCGTGAAAGTGTTAAACCTCTCCCTGCAAGATGACCAATGGGACCAAGCAACGCTCCCAGTTAGACTCTGGGGGATAGGTATTCGCAAGGTGACACAGTTAGCATTGCCGGCATTCTTATCCTCGACCAGTGCAACAGGTGAATTAGTTAAGGAAATACTACCGGAATACCTAAGAGACTCCATTGGGATTCATGATCCCAAATTCGTGGAAGGAGCCGGTCAGTGGGACACTCTCGTCAACTCTCATCCTCGACCAACTTTTCCAAATGACTGCAAACAGTCCAAATGGGATAGCCCCATAGTGGAGAACATCGCCACATCATTGCTGGAGGCAGCTTCCAGGAAGGACAAAGCGCGTCTTCTAGCTGTGCAAGCACCCCATGCCGGGGACTTCCTGTTGGCAGTCCCTAATTCCCCCTTGGGTACCCGCCTGGACCATCGGACCCTAAGTATTGGTGTTGCTCTGCGCATTGCTGCCCCTATCTCCACCGAGCACCGGTGTATTTGCGGCCATGCACGGGCAGACCAATACGGCAGCCAAGGTCTCATCTGTCGTAAGACACAGAGAAAGATTGCCAGACATGAAGCAGTCAATGACATCATCAAGAGAAGTTTGGCTTCAGCTGGGTGTCCAGCACAAAGAGAACCTCAGTTGTGCAGACCTGACAACAGCCAAAAACGCCCAGATGGAGTCACCCTGCAGCCGTGGAGGGAAGGTAAACAGGTCGTGTGGGACTACACGTGTGCATCTACATTGGCTGATACCTATCTACCTTACAGCACAGCTGAGGGAGGGGGGGCGGCCACCTTCAGGGAGACCCAGAAAACTAACAAGTACAGGGACCTAGAACGTTGTTACAGGTTCATGCCGATAGGCTCCGAGACTCTGGGCGCCTGGGGTAAATGTGCACTTAAGGTCCTGAAGGAGCTGGGCGAGGAACTCATTGGGAAGACTTGAAACCCACGAGCGGCCAGTTTCATGTTCCAGCGCCTCAGTGTCGCTGTTCAGAGGGGAAATGCGTGCTGTATCTTGGGTACGCACCCGACCCCCGAGGAGTTGGACGAGGTCTTCGAACACTGAGTGGTATATTGTTATATAAGTTTGTGTTTTCTGTAAACTGTAGCATTGCAATAAAATCAAATAAAAAAAAGAAATAACAGGGGTGGTAGGAGAGGAAAAGATTAAAGTATTCGGTGAGGATCCACAAGGTCTTCTCTGAACGCTATTTATTTTCTTCTTCTTCGAGGATGTGGGTCCCTTTAATTAAACCAGTGGTGGTAACCCCTAAATATATATATATATATATATATATATATATATATATATATATATATATATATATATATATATATATATATATATATATATATATATATATATATATATATATATATATATATATATATATATATATATATATATATATATATATATATATATATATATATATATATATATATATATATATATATATATATATGAATGTACAGTAGTGCACGTCTACAGGTATTACCCTGGAAGCTCCGACCAGCATGGATGTGGCTGCCCTGTCTTCTCTCCCATACGAAGGTGATCAGCTTCCCTGACCATCCACCGTGACCTCACAGATGACGACCCCGACCTTGTATGGTGTTGTGATCTGATAAGTCAATTATGTCCTCACTCCAGAGGTGGGCACTATGATGACCTGACCTTCCTGGGTACTCTTCTCACCAGTACGTATATATTTTGATGCATTTCCGGAACAACCAGAGTTCCTTGATGCTCTTCTTTGGTCTCTAGTATCATTATTATTATTGTATTAGTATACTTTGTTGAGGTGCGTCTAGTATAATTCTGGGCACTGATTACCCAACATTGCCTTTGACTAAACAAGTTATTATGAGTCCTTATTAACCCAGATCAATTTTAGCACACTGGTTTGGATTAATGCAAGCTATAATGCTTATATACTTCAAATTAACCAGACGTGCTGCTCATCTCAGCAAAATATTAATTAATCCATATTGTATTTCTCTGATATAAGTTGCTATTTAGATGTGTGACATAGCCAGGTTTGGCCTTCACGTCTCCTGATGCTTGCAGGCGAGGGTATTGAGACACTGATTCGAGAACTTCACGAGAGGAACGTCAGCGCTGGCAACCCCTGGACCATGTTCTCAGCGCCACAGGGTCAACCCGGCACCACCCAGGCCCTGGCCGCCTCGCTACGCCTCTCCGGTCTCTATGTCTTCTAGGGCCTGCAGGACCAAGTCGCAAGATGATCAAACATTTGGTTCCTGTTAAAATATCTATGAGACAGAAGGCTCTTATATATAATCACAGACTTGTTAACATTTACCATTGTTGCTATCTGTTTAGTGCAGTTGTGCTTAGGTATTTCTGATGCTGTATATTGTGAAAAATGTATTGAATAATTAGTTATAAACTCAGCATTACTTCCCAAAATCAAGAACTGGCCAACGAAGTTAATCTTTTCCTACATGAAACTAAGCTCTCTTCAGTTCAAAGTTTAAAACCTGAATTCCATTGAAACCACTAGAAAATAGGAAAGGGAAAAATAAGGGAAAAGCGCCAAGCCCTTACGACTTCAAAGCACTGGATTTGGGATGGGACGGGGGAGGGGGGAAGGAATGTTGCCCAACCACTTGGACGGTCGGGGATTGAACGCCGACCTGCATGAAGCGAGACTGTCGCTCTACCGTCCAGCCCAAGTGGTTGGTTAAAAAAAATATGAAGGAGATAATATTTGTCAGCTTTTAAAACCCACTTAATACCTTGCTATTGCAACAAACTGTCTCCCAAGATGAATCAGACCAATAAAAACTCCTAGCTGCTGTCATTATTTCCTCACGAAATTTTCCCTTGAAACCAACTGAGCGGACCGTGTCAACTCGTGGTTAAGGAACTACGGGAGCAGCTGAATTACAAACTTCAAGCAAGCAGGTGAAAACAAAGCAGCACACAGAAGAGGTACCAAAGTATCTACTGAAAACATTAGGAAAATTCGTGTCCAATTACATAGTTGTTCGTGAAGATTAGACCTTATCAGAGCTTTTGGGTCTGGAAAACCCACTGTTTTCGTGAAAAACTGATTTACCAGGAATAGGCAGAATCTTTCCTTTCAACTGCGACAAGTTTGTAAGAATTCCAATATGTTAATCAAAGATTGCTTTGTCAGAGGTGGTAAAATACCAGTGAGGAAGACCGACACTGGAAAAAACTATAAAATAGCCAATGCAGCCCATCCACTGTAGATAATGCAAGTACTTGCCTGTAAAGTAATGCAAGTACTTGCTTGTAAATATTTAAAAATTGTGTAACTAGATTCAGAAGAGTTTTACTTGCTTAGCTAAATGAACAATAGGGTTCAGTTGGTGAACCCACTATCTGCCTCTGTAACCCCACTGTGGGTTATCAGTTTTGAATCAATTATATTTTGAATGTGGATTCAAAATATAGCCCCATTTAAAAGCAAAGCCCAGGAATGAAGTATACCATATAAATTGAATAGATCGAATACTAATGATCCAAAGTGGATAATAAAGGATCTGAAGAACCTTATAGGTAAAAAGAGAGCGTGGTACAAAAGGATTAAGAATGGGGAAGTCAGTTTAGAACAGGAATTCGTACAACTAGTTAGAAATACTTAAAAAGAGATAGGAAAGCAAAAAGAAACTAAAGTTCGCATAGCAGAGCAAGCGAAGACAAATCCTAAAGGGTTTTTCCAGTTATACCTTACAAAGATTAGGGAAAGGATAGGTCCATTAAAAACCGAGACAGGTCAAATAACAGATAGTGATGAAGAAATGAGTAGTATTTTTAATAAATATATTATATCTGTATTTACGAAAGAGGAACTTAACAATATGCCTTCAGCCGAACAAGTCTATGACTTGTTCGGCTGAAGACTTCGACTTCTTCAGATCCTTTGAAGACGACGACTTCTTCAGATCCTTTGTTATCCACTTTGGATCATTAGTATTCGATCTATTCAATTTATATGGTATACTACATTCCTGGGCTTTGGTTAGAATATTTTTAAATAGGTTATATTTTGATTCCACATCGAAAACCCCTTTTACGTCACCTATCTCTGGGTTAACGTCTAGCTCCAATACCGGCCCACAACCCATACCCTAGACTTTCCAATCTATTTGACCCATGGGACCCATTCTGGGACCATAATGAATAAAATATCAATTGGTCTCATTATAAGATATTAGTTACTAATTTGAAGTTGTGAAATTTGCTGTTTTTTTTTTCTTTCCATTGTATAATGTTGATCCATTAGGAAAAGTTGGAGCATTTACCATGAAGATGCACAACACAAACTGAGTGTGTTTGAGGACGTTTTGGTGCACGTGCACCCGGCCCCTTAGAGGTATTTAATTTTGTTAATTTCATTGTCTATTTAATATATTGTCAAATATTTAATTGTCTATTACATTTTTTATATATACGTTTTTGTTTGTGTTTTCTTTGTTCACTACTTTTATTGTCCATAACTTTTGTTGTCCATTACTTTTATTGCCCATTTTTTATTGTTCATTACTTTTGTTGTCCATTACTTTTATTGCCCATTTCTTTTGTTGTCCATTACTTTTGATGTCCATTACTTTTGTTGTCCATTGCTTTTGTTGTCCATTACTTTTGTTGTCCATTACTTTTGTTGTCCATTACTTTTGTTGTCCATTACTTTTGTTGTCCATTACTTTTGTTGTCCATTACTTTTGTCGACCATTACTTTTGTTGCCCATTACTTTTGTTGTCCATTACTTTTGTTGTCCATTACTTTTGTTGTCCATTACTTTTGTTGTCCATTACTTTTGTTGTCCATTACTTTTATTGACCATTACTTTTGTTGTCCATTACTTTTGTTGTCCATTACTTTTGTTGTCCATTACTTTTGTTGTCCATTACTTTTGTCGACCATTACTTTTGTTGCCCATTACTTTTGTTGTCCATTACTTTTGTTGTCCATTACTTTTGTTGTCCATTACTTTTATTGACCATTACTTTTGTTGTCCATTACTTTTGTTGTCCATTACTTTTGTTGTCCATTACTTTTGTTGCCCATTACTTTTGTTGTCCATTACTTTTGTTGTCCATTACTTTTGTTGTCCATTACTTTTGTTGTCCATTACTTTTGTTGTCCATTACTTTTATTGTCCATTACTTTTGTTGTCCATTACTTTTATTGTCCATTACATTTTTGTTCATTATTTTTATTATCCTGCGGGATATTTATCATATAAATATCCTAGTCAACAAATATATTTATTATATAAATATCCTAGGCAGGCCCTAGTCAACAACGGCTTCTTAAACGGTTTTGTTAAAGACGTTTTTGTTAAAGACGAATGGCTCCAGCGGTGTGCAGCCATTCACACCTCATGGCTCCAGCGGTGTGCAGCCATTCACACCTCATGGCTCCAGCGGTGTGGAGCCATTCACACCTCATGGCTCCAGCGGTGTGGAGCCATTCACACCTCATGGCTCCTACTGATTTTACCAAAAGAAGGTAGTTATTCAATTATATAAATTTCTGGTGTGCCCCCACTTGGATTATTGAATCCAAGCACAGAGACCTCATCTGCTAATAAACTTAGCTTCTTTGGAGAAAGTTCAACACTGGGCAACAAAATCATTCCAGAGCAAAATGAACTCACACACCAGGAACAGTTGAGGGCCACAGAGTTAACAACACTGCAAACCAGATATGACATGGCGGATCTCGTCAAAACTTTTAATTAACATACTGAACAATTTGGAGGATGTTGATCCAGCAATCCGTCCTCAGGAACCAAAATACCTATAGTCACATTATTTAGCGTACCAATGCTGCATATATTCAAAGCTTACCTGAATTTACCTGAGGACCACTGACACTAGTGGCCTCGTTTTTGCCAACATTTGCCTTGATAATCTTCTCCAGTTGGATTTTGAAATTCAACACTCTTGGCATTTACGGCTTCAGCAGGTAGGCTGTTCCATGGGTTTATACCCCTGTCCATAGAATTTCTGAAAAAGGGGGGTTTCAGTGTTAGGTATTGTGCATCTGCCAGTTCCTTTGTGACTGGATTGAATTCCATCCACACCTGGGGCTTTCGAGTCCTTTTTGTTTGTCAATGCTCTTCCTGATTGTGTCTCACGTCTGGAGTAAATCCGTTAATTCGCTCTCTTCACCTCTTTCAACCATTTGTGTGGGTGATGGGATGTCATCTAACCTTTCTAGTGTGAACAATAATGTAAAATATTCATTCAAAGTGTTTGTTGACCATTAATCGTCCATTATAACTTGGTTAGTCTCATCTTTTAAGGGTCCTTTCGAGTCCTTTGTTTAGCTTCTTATATAAGCATATAACAACTTTGGATCTTCCTTTATGTTTTGCTCAAGTTTTCTTTCGTAGTTTCTTTTGGCTGATCTTATTTCCTGAGTGGCTGAGTTTAGTGGCCTTTTATATATGACATAACTGGTGACAGGGGCGGCCAGTCTACTTACTGTAAGAGCCACAAATGATGAAGCTCAGGTGTTTGTGAGCCTCAGCACAGGAACAAATTTTACACTTACGATTTTATCGTTACACATTTTGTAAAAAAAAATTACAAGAATTAAAAAAATTGATTAAAAAGAATTATATGCAGTTTTAAATTGGTAATTTGTATTAGTTTCAGTAATCACAAAGACACAAATATGTGAAAGAAGTAAACCAAAAAAATTGAGATATTTAAGGGCTAACTGGAAACAGAATGTAATGAAGTGGCTGGAATCAGCTCAGATCACCACCTTTGCAGACTTACTGTTGCCTCAGTATTTTGTTCATTTCTTCGTTGTCATCTGTGAAAGTTCCATCTCCCTTTCGCAGGGGCCTAATACAGGATGTAGTTTTTTTTTCAAATTTTGCATAGAAGAAAAAGTATTTCGGATTTATCTCTGATGGCCTTCTGCTATCTCTGCCTCTCCTGGATTTTATATGATTCTTGTAGATTTAGTTCAATCGTTTATATTTCCCTACACAGCCTTCTTTGTCGTTCTTGAGATAGGGTGGGGCGTTCAAGTTGTTCTGCGATTCGTTTTCCTGCACTATAGAGGGAACGTTCCAGTCAGCATCTCTTCCACTTTTTTCGATGAGATATGCGGCTTGAGAATATTTCTAGTGCCACCGAGAACTTTATTCCACTGAATAAATTCGTCAGTGTTGCAACAGATTCTTGATGAATATGGAGTTGAATATGGTGAATACCTACAATGGTGGGGAAAATGTAGGATTAGTTGAACTTATGAAAAGTGATCCCAGCTTTCCAGTTCCTCTCTGTTCATCGTGAACACCTTACAGCCAGATACTTCAGGTATGAAGATGTTATGAAAGCTGTCCTTGAAATTATCAATTTCATACGCGCAAATGGGAAGACCCACCGACGGTTCAGAATTTTTTTTGAAGAATTGGAGCTTGTGATAAACCT